TTAGTGTTAGTAATATTGTAAGAGAAGATGATGGTATATATACATGTTATGCTAGTAATGGTATAGGACAACCAGATAGTGCATCAGCTACAGTTACTGTATATTGTAAGTACTGTTGTATATGTAGTGTATTGAGAGTTATTTAGTGTTAGTAATATTGCAAGAGAGGATGATGGTATATATACATGTTATGCTAGTAATGTTATAGGACAACCAGATAGTACATCAGTTACAGTTACTGTATATTGTAAGTACTGTTGTATGTGTAGTGTATTGAAAGTTATTTAGTGTTAGTAATATTGTAAGAGGAGATGATGGTATATATACATGAATGTAATGTTAAGATATTGTGTTGCAAAGACGTCTTTAATACTATTGTTCTTTATTGGGTTGGCGCTTTTTCTAACTTATTATATAGATGTACCTGTGACAAATGGCATTACAGACTATTATAGTGGAATTGGTGATTCGATATCCATGAACGTATCTGTCGATGCGAACCCATTACGTGTGACGTTTGTTGATTGGATAAATTATGACGTTGTTTTAACGGACAAAGTAGATACATTATCTACGAGTACTGTATTCATCAACGAAGTCACCGAATTCCATTTCGGCGTATATAATATCACTGCACATAATGACATTGGAAGTGTTGTACTCCAGGTCAATTTACATCATGCAGGTAAGGGCAGTGCTAGGAAATGTATTTTATTTTCTATTATGACAAAATTAAATATATCTAGCATTCTCATGACAGAGAATTGTTTAACAAGATAAACTTATTTAATGATGGTAAACTTTAAGCTGAACTTATAATGATCATAGATTTGTTTTGATCGTGCGAGACAAACTGTACTGGAGCAGCTACATTTTATTTGCTAACAGGCGTGCCCGAAGCACCTGTATCTCTGGAGATAATTGATCGTTCTTATGATAGTTTATCTATATTACTGTCACCCGGGTATGATGGAGGATATAGTGGAAATACGGCACAATACCTGGAATATCGTTCGACATCACAGGCGTCATTCCAATCTTGGCCATCTGACGGAATGGGAACAAGAAATACCACTATATGGATTATGCAGTTAAAGCCGTCCACTGCGTATGAAATAAAAGCAAAGACAGGCAACATATATGGAATCGGGCAGTTTTCTACTACATATGTGTTTATTACTTATCGTAAGTATAATTTTCCAACGAATACATTCATATCATGTGTACTTCAAATACGATAAAAACATCCACGTTTTGAGAATACCAAATACATATAATGTGTTGAATGGGACTATTCTTTACAACATAGTATTAGTGTCTGCTGTTTGTAGTTACTTGAATCGCATATGTAAGTAGTGCAAAATTTCCATCACTAATGCGTCCATTGATATAGTGAAAGCTGAACAATATTATTATATTTGATCATCCACACTACTTCTTTTTCATTTACAAACTGAAATAGGTGAACCAATAGTTAATTTAAATGACCAGACTGGTATCATAAAATGGACACGTCACGAAGATATGAAATATCAATGTGTGAAAATAGAAAAACTGGAAAGAAATGACAATTGGATTATAGAAGAGAATTGTTTAGACAGAGATGTGGTGGAGTATACAGTGAAAGACAACAACGCGGAATATAGAGTGACGTATTGTTCACGTGATAATACATGTGAGGGACATCATTTTAAAGCAACTAAAGGTACTGATTATGCAGGTACGAGAATAATAATTCAACTTCGCAGACTAGTTTTATACAATAGTATTTTGATTTAATCTTATATTAAGATTTTATTTTACTCGTCACGCTGAATATGTGTAATAGTTTGCAAATCAAGAATTTGATCCAGAATTAGCTCATTGTTGTTAAATAACCTCTTTCAATGACATCGGTATATGTTCTTAATTTCGTACGGGTGTCCTAAACAGTCATACCTTGATTATGTGTGGCCCATGTTTTAATTATCAATCAATATATAATATGTATTGTAGATCGTGTTGAAAGTTGTAACACTGTTGCTATTGTTATTGGTGTATTGGTATCACTACTCGGTGGTTGCGTAATTGGTTTTTTAATTGGCTTTATTCTGATTAAGCGAGTCATAACGAAAAACGCAAAACAGGTAAAGCAAGTAAATTATTAACAATACTATGTATCGACATTCCTGCACCCTGTATAACATATGTATTACTCTTTATATATATATATATACTAT